GTTTGTCACCAGTCATATGTCTGGAACACGCGCTGTCGAGATACCATTTTCCTTTTCAATTCTTTTTGCGGTGTTCCTGAAAAACAAAATTACTTGTTTTTAGGTACCCAAGCTTGCTTGGGTCCTGAAAGATTAGAAGGCTGAGTGTTAGTTTGGTTTGAAGATTTTGGTCGCCAGACCCATCTTCTGTTGTTCTTAAACATGCAGCAATTTGAGGTGTGGCCCTTTTCCCACAATAAAAACAAGATGGACTATTTTCAGAACCTTTTTCTGCCCTGATTTTATTCCTGCATTGGTTAGTATTGTGCCCATTCTTACCACAAAAGGAACACCCATGAGATTTCTTCTGTTTGTGACGAACAGTCTGATTTGATTTGACTGAACTATGACTAGTGGATTTTTGCAATCCATTAAATTGAAGTTGAAGTTCATTTACTTCTTCCTGTAGCAAATCACGTTCAATTTCACAAACCTCTAGCATCAGAGTCCACTCTTTCTTTTCTCTCTGAATCTTTCTGAGTTCATTTAGAACTCTTTCAATATCTTCAAGAGTAATATCAACGAATTCTTGGAGTTCATAACAATTAGGGAAATTTAGGGGACGTACCTCACTAGTTCCCTCATCTGCCATGAGACCAAGCTGATCTGAGTCTTCTTCTTCATTTATTACTCTGCTTCCTGAGAACCCATGCTCTCCTGATTCTTCATTGATAACATCTTCTATGGCCATGAAGCACATATTTGCAATTCTTTCATGATCAGATTCTTCTTCATCACTCCAGGCTCCAAAAGACTTCTTCCTTTGAAGATTCCTACTCAGCTTCTTCTTTAAGTTTGGACAGTCAGCTTGAATGTGTCCATGTTTACCACATTCATAGCATCTTCCATCATTTTCATTGTTTATTCTTCCCTTTCTGAAGTTTGGTTTACCTCTTCTGCCGTTTCTGTTTTTCCTCATCATGCTAGTTACAACTTGAGAAAGAATGGCAGTGTTTTCATCCTGTTCTCCTCCTTCATTTTCTTCTTCATCCTCTGGTTCAGCCACTGTTGCTTTGAAAGCGACTGTTTTCTTCTTTTCTTGTTGGATCTGTCTATCCAAATGAGTTTTCTCAAAAGCTATTAGATCACATATGAGTTCATCATAGGACATCTTGTCAAGATCCTGACATTCGAGTGCAATGACTTTTGGCTGCCAAATCGTAGGTAGACTTCTGAGAATTTTTCTGACTTATTCTCCGCTTTTTATTGTTCTACCAAAGGATTTCAGATCTCCAAGAATTTTGCTTAACCTGGAGAACATTTCTTCAGCAGATTCTCCATCCTTCATTTGAAATAGCTCATACTCACGAACCAATAGATTTATCCTTATTTCATTTACCTTGTTTGTCCCTTCATATGTAACTTCCAATTTATCCCATATCTCCTTAGCAGTTTCACAGCTTGAGATCTTTTCATATTCTTCACCACTGATAGCATTGTATAACAGATTTTTGGCTTTGGCATTTACTGTTATGATAGCAGCTTGCTATCAGTGTAGTCATCTAAGTCAAGTGGATTAGTGGATACTATTACTTGACCATTTTCGTCTTTCTTTGGGGGAATTGGAAGATTTCCCTTTTTGATCACTCGTCAAATTTTGATGTCATAAGACATGGTGTATGTTTCCATACGCACCTTCCAATGAGAGAAGTGTTGTCCATTGAAGTATGGTGGTCGAACTTGAGAAGTTTCCTCTTGAAATAGTGCACCAACGACTGTGTTTGATCCCATGATCTTTTCCTCACTAGCCGTTAAGCAAGTTTGTGAGCCTTGCTCTTATACCAATTGAAAGTACAAGAGGGGGGTGAATTGTGGTCTGTTAAAAACTTAGTCGACTAACGATGATTTTAGTTGACTAGATCGAGAGCAGAAGTGAAATAACTGTAAGTAGAAAGAAAATGACACACAACAATTTTATACTGGTTCGGTACCGGTGTGGTACTTATATCCAGTTTTCCTTGGGTCACAAGGGTTCCTTTAAGATCTTAAAAGTACTACAACGGAGATGGTTTTTGATTCGTTCACCACCAACGAAGTACAGCAATAGTGAATCTGTAATAATGACACAACTCTCTTTTGTGTTCTAACTCTCCCTATCTTTCGTGACACTAATAAACTTCATAATACAATGTTTAGGCTAAGAAGTATAAAGACTTAGAAAACAAGGTGTGTAGTTGCGCAAGTCTTCCAATTGAACTAAGCAGCCTTCTTATAGGAGAGGAAAAGAGTCGTTGAGTCTTGACCATAAATAGAGGCACGAGATCTTTTTAAAAGGATTTGACCCAAGGAGTGCCTCTTTGAATCCTGCTCTTTGGGAAAGACCGGATTCGATCGTGACTTTCCTTGTCACAGCTTTCATTTTCAAGACAATTAATCCTTTGACTGAGCTTTAATTAAGGAAGCCGAATAAGGCGATAACTCCTTGATTGGTAAACTAATTCCCTTGATTGAGGCCGAGATTATTTGCAGGCTTTTGGTTCCTTCTGTAGATCCATTGATTTAGCAATCACTCCTCATTGCTTTTCTTTTCTTTTGATGATTCCTGCGAAATAGATTAATTGAACATTGTCATCATTGAAACCTTGGAATTTAACTTAACAAGTTCCACCAAAGGCATATCCAGAATACAGTATCACTAATTCAGGTTTGAAGTTCCTGAAAAAATTTATGATTTCATATATGCATATTAGAGAAACATGTCTTATATTTATTAATTTGATGTAATTATTAACTATGTATAATTTTTTATCGAATTTATATTACTATAAACTTTAAGTGGTGATAAGGTAAGTTAATTGTGGATGATGAATACTACCTAAATTAAGTCCATAACTTTGATGTTGACATAACATGGAGATAACCAAGGGCGGAGCTAGAGCGTAAGAAGCGAATTCGACATAATTCAGTAGCATGGTCCGAATTTTTATATTTATTTTAAGAAATTAATCTAATATGAACAAATTATTAAATTAGAAGTCAATAACTCAAAGAAACTAAAATTCCGAACATATAAATTAAACTTTAAATTTTGACTTTGCCCCTATGAAAATCACCTACCTAGGTTAGCACCTAATGTTTCTAAAATTCACCACATAATAACACCACTGCAGACATAGAGTGGGACTGATTTGATTGACAAGAACATATGGATGACAAATCCATTGTAAAGTAAAATAGCATTCCTTATAAGACATAAGAGAATTTCATTGAATAAAAAGACCTAATGGGAATATAAATTTTGTTGTAATTGATGTTATATTTGAGATAGACAAGAAAATGGAATCACCATATAGACGTGCAATTTCACCCTTTGAATTTCAAATATGACAGGGCCTAGTGGTGTACGCACGATATTAGGCAAACATTGTCAATTTGATGTTAAAATTTAGCTTATGTAAATTATACTCCTTATATTTCTTTTTATGTGACAATATTTTCTTATTGATCAGATCTAAAAGGAATAATACTTTTTCTATATTTGAAAACAATTTAACTTTAATAACAAGCTCTTGTCAAAGTGATTATTTCTTGTTTTTGAAAAGTCCAATTAAATTGTCTACAATTTATAATAGGTAATTAGGTTTCTATAGTTTTAAAAGTTCATAATTTTATTTAAAGTAAATAAATTAATTCCATCTCACATAGTTTCTATAGTTTTTAAAGTTCGACTTTCCTTGTTTTAGTTGTCCCCTCTCTCTCGCCATCCTTTTTCATATGCTTCCAAATCGTAAAACATATTCAATAATAAGATATATTTTTTTGGTTTCTCACCCGACGTCCGGTAGCTCCATAACAAACGTGAGTCCATACCAGAACTTGAACCTGAAGAGTATTTATCACTCCACCACAATTCTTATTGGTCAAGAAATACAATATAGTAATATTATCCTTTGGCTGAGTTGTTTTCTATTTTAATTAATTTTATCAAGCATATGTAATTATACTGTGTCGAAACGAAATAAAATATAAAATGACACCACTTGACATGTGTTGTTTGGCATGTTGGTTAGGTTCCTAGTTTTAAGAGGGTCGGAGGTTCGAACCTAAGCTAGAACATATTTTCTTCAAATATTTGGAAGAGCCTCTTGTTAAAAATTGGGGTCAAGTAGAACTGAACTCAGACCTCTTCTAACTTAAGCTAAAAAACTGGAATTAGCTACGAACATCGTTGCTAATCTAACGAAATTTCTTGATAATTCGTCGCTAATCATTTGCTAAATAGGATTAATAACGAATTTTTTTATTTAGCCATAGAATTTATCCGTCGCTAATTTTTATATTATTTTGGCAGTGTCCTTAGGCAGAGTTTTTTTTTTTTTAATTTTAATTCACTGAAGGTGGTGGTGGGTTGAGAAAACATAGTACTTATTGAGGCCTAAAAGACTTTTATCTTTGGTCAAGACTTTATAAAGTATTACGAGTCATTTGTTATAGGAAGGAGTAGTGGAGATAAAAAGGGGATGGAATGGACCATATATATATATATATATGAGCCAAATGATAGAAACATGAAGAATAAAAAAAGAAAGAGTGCATGTACGTACCTCAAAAGTTCATACATGGTTTCTAATTTTGTATGTCAACAGAAAGAAATAGGTCTCGTGAATGCATCTTTGACCCTTTTATTCTCCACATAGCCTACCTACTAATGCCACGGGAGCGAATCCACGATTTAAACTTTATGGGTTCAATCTTTACGTTATTTAGTATTAAACTCATTGTATTTTTAAATTTATAAGTTCAGACTTACTATTTATTATGTTTTTTAGTGCATTTTTACGTATAAATTTTTGCTCCCTGTTAAACGTAATGAATTTAGATGAACCCGTCACGGAACTCTACACCCGTCCCTGACAGCTGGCTCTTCCGGAATCGAATTTAAAGCGAGATCTCACTGTTTTTTACTCAAACTATGTATACATGTAAAAAAAATTGTATGAAATCACACTATAAACTCATAGACTTTAAATCTTGGATTCGCCTTATCCTCAACACACACAATGGTCACATGTACAGATACAATTATGTAAACTGAGGAATGGGAGCACATGCAATGCACGTGCCGTTGGTGATGGTGAGTTGAAAATTGGTTGATTTGGTCTGAAGAAAATATACCTGGATGGTCAACCACAACCAACAACCATAGTAGAGAATATTGTTAGATATTTGATGAATAGGAAAAAGCAGAACATAAAATAATGAAGCCAGAATAAGAATGTATAGACCACGCAGTACACGCCCCACATGCCTGAACCAAGTAGCAGTATATATATATATATATATAGAGAGATCAAAATCAAAGAGAATTGACTAAGTTAGTAACATGGTGTAGTGTCTAAAAAAAAATGAATACTCCATATGTTTTAAAAAGATTGGCACTATTTCCTTATTAATTTGTTTAAAAAAGATTGACATCTTTCAGTATTTCTTTAATAAAAAGCATTTATAGCCACATAAATGTTATGACAGGTTTCAGACCACGGGTTTCAAAAGTTTTACAGCCACATAAATGTTATAGCTTATTTAAGATCACAGCTCAAAAGTATTCTCTTCTTTATTAAAGTTTGTGTAAGTCTAAAGTTTGTGTAAGTCAAACTAAGACAGTCTTTAAGACAGTCTTTTTGTAACGGAGGGAGTAGTATTCTAGTTTATATGAAGGATTTTGAGCACAATATTCTATAATGTATGGAATCTACTATAGTTTAAGTGTCTGAATCCACATGTAACAGCAGAAGCTAACAACCTGCTAAAGAAAATTTTGAAGCATGAAGCATTTAAAGCATGAAAAATACTGCTCTATGACTTCAATATGTAGTTCATAGGGAAGAAGGGGAGCTTTGGCGTAACCAGTAAAGTTATTGCCATGCGACCAGGAGGTCACGGATTCACGGATTCGATTCGAGCCGTGGAAATAGCCTCTTGCAGAGATGCAGGGTAAGGCTGCGTACAATAGACCCTTATTGTCCGGCCCTTCCCCGGACCCCGTGCATAGAGGGAGAGGGAGCTTAGTGCACCGGGCTGCCCTTTGTAATTCATAGGGACATGTTACTTAGGTAATCAACAAGTTGTCAAGTTTGATCTAAACTGAATATGCTGCAACAAAATGCTGTAGAACTTAAAGATTTATATGAAAAGAAAAGAAGACAAAAAGTTTCTATACCATTTTGACTTACAAGGTGTGTATGTAACATCAGTATGCTTTTCTATTTGTACATCATCTAGCATTGTACCTCAAACGATTCCCTGCCTAATTATCGTCCATTGCAAGGCAGCGGTACTGTCAGGACATTACTCTGCTTGCCCGCAGCAGGACCCTCTGAAGCTCATCGGCAAGTCCTGGTAAGAGCACTGGTTTACGGATAGTTCCATTCATTCCGATCTGCAGGCATCTTCCACTTACATCTTCATCAGCAGTTGCGGCTAAACCAATGATCAAAGGCCAGCTCCTACTACGATGCTTTCGTATCCTCATGGTAACTTCAAAGCCATCTACATCAGCTAAGTGAAGATCCAAAAGTATAATTTGGAATGAGGAAACAGCAGGGCCGATAGCACTGAGGCATTCATATCCAGATGAAACAACAGCAACGTTGCATCCCAATTTCTCGAGCATCTTCCTCGTTACGCTTCTATTCACGTCATCATAGTCAGCTAATAGAACTTTGACACCGTGGAGAAGAGAACGTGTATGTGAAGGATCAGAGGATTCCCCATATTCAGGTATGCTTATAGGAATTGATGGCTGCCTTCGAAACCCAACAATAACAGCCATGCATTGATCAAAACCTTCTGGATTTAGGACTACACAGATGTCTCCTTGCATCAACTGTTTGCCATTTTCAAATACGAGAACGAAGTTAGTTTAAAACTCAAATGGCAAAAAGATATGAACATCAGATTTACAAAAGCTGGCTACTTCCAATAGTATAATCTGTAATTAAATGTTGGAATATGAATAGACTTACATGAACCAACCTCCTGCAAACGGCAAAGCTCAAACTCTCCTCAACCTCGTTGTTGCAGTACATTCGAGTGCAGTGTGGTAATGTGGATGTTACGCCCTCTGCCTTAGATCGATTAATGCTAGCGAAAATTTCGAACCTGATATAGACGTTGTCAGTAGATGAGTTTGATCTCCTTGTTTTCCAACTTACATCATTTTCACTTGCTGGTAGAACTCTGAAGATAAGATGCCCTCCATTTTTTCCCTTCAAAATAGTTCCAACCATATGAAGTATAACTTGAAACACTCTTCTTTCATCACCCATAACATGATTAGGCAACGATTTGTCAACTTCAATGCCAATATTATAACCTATATATGTACACAAACACTTGGCAAGACAAGCGGCTTCTCTTATCATGGAATGCAGCTGAAAATGCCGCATCTCCAATGGGAATCTTACATTGTCCTTTGTTGAAGTATCCATCACATCATCCATTAGTGTGGACACGACGTTGCCGGTCTTAATCATAGCATCCACAAGAAGCTGTTGATCAGTACTTAACTTCTCTTCCTGCAAGACGGAGAGAAGACCTGAAATTGAGTGCATCGGTCTTCTCAACCTATGGCTCATAACCGTTTGAAATGCATTCCTTGCTTGACTTGCCCTAAGAGCATCCTCTCTTGCTTGCTGTAGCGCACGATTCTGTTCCATCAATCTGTCTCTCATATGCTGAGATTCTTCTAGCACTGCAGCATGGGATAGAGCCACAGCAACCTGATCGGCTGCAGCCCTGACTATCTCAATTTCCTGATTACTCCAAGACCTATCCTTTCCGCTAGGAAGAACCAAAATGAGAATTGCATAACATTGCGGGACAATCTCTGTCGTTCCACCTTTGAAATTCGAGACCTTCAGCATTGGCATCCTAATCGCTGCCACAGTTCCTGGCTCACAACTTCCTCCACTACTTGCAGCAAGTGGGGAGCCCGGGTCAAGTATCTTTACAACATCACTCCCCTTGATCTCTTTTACATCTCGATCACTCGTTGGGATAGGCTTATTATACATACTGGAAATATTCCTCCCTCTAAGCTCATGACTCAGATTCATCAGATTCATCTCAGTTCTGTTCTCATTAGGCATCCAAATAGCACAATTCTGCAAATCCAATATCTTCGATAACTCAACCAAAGTTGTGTATAGTATTGTATGACGATCAAGTGATTTCCGGATCTCTTGTGTAAGCATCCGAACATGCATTCCAGCTTCCTTTTGCCTCTTTATTATTCCAACTTCTCGACCAAGATCCCGAGTCTTCTTTTTCAGCATAAATTCCCTTACCTTGACTTTGAGCAACAAAGGGATGAGGGTGATAAGGGTTATAGCAGTGAGCATAGAGACGACTGCGGTGAGGAGTTTGGAAACAAGAAGGGCAAGAACAAGGTGAAATGTGTATTGGCCAAAATAAGTCAAGAAACTAAGGAAATGAGTTAATCCACAGAGTATAATGAATGCTCCGAATTGAAAGAGCACCCATTTAAACGGAAAGTTAGAACAGCTGACAAAGTAAACTATCTCAATCGGAATGGAAAAATAGGCTACTGCAATAAACAAATCACCGAGTCTTTGGAAAAATAAAATTCTCTCGACACTCCAAAATACCTCATCGTCATCTTCACAATTACACTCAATAACGCTCCCATTAGCAATCGATAAGGAAACAAGGAACGACAAAATCAACAACCACGACGTTACTCTTTTCAACATTGCATCCAATAGACTTACTCGCGTTTACACTTTTCAACACCAACAACAACGACAACAACGACCCAGTGAAATCCCACTAGTGGGGACACTTTTCAGCACCAATGATGCATAATGTACAATCATATACCTGATCAATCAAACCATATAAGCAAGAGACAACTTGTTAAGATTCATAAAACTGGACAAAGTACATAAGAACCCCACAAATTAAAAAATAGAAAAAAGAAAAGGGCTTTATTTAGCATCAATATAAAATAACACAGATATGTACACAAATGCATGCACCAACATCCATTTGCAATTAACATAATCTGGTTGATATCCAAAAAGAAGAGACTAAAAGGTGCCAAATACCAACTAGCCCCACACAACTTAAAAAAGCATCTATTTATTTCAAAATTTTGACCTTTTTTTTATCTTTATCAGTAAATAGAATTTCAAAATTCTGACTTTCACAACACTACAATAATCACTCATTAGTAAAAAAGATAAACAGATACTTAATTAAAGTTAAAAATTCAATACACAGCTGTAAAAAAGAGCTAAACTTACCTGAAAAGTTAAAACACACACACACACACTGCACACACATCTTTCTGAAATGAAAACCAAAAACAAGCCAATCCAACACTTAGATCTTATCTTTCAGCCACATGCAACCCCAAATAAACACCAATGCATTTTTCCAGCATTGATATCATCAAAAAAGGAAAAAAAAAAAAAGGAAAAAAAGAAGAAAAAAAATAGTACCTACAAAAACTCCAAATAGCTACATAAAAGAAGAACCAAAACCCAATGCAGCTATTAGAAGGGGGAAAAAAACCCAGAAAGAAAAATTTAATGATCCAGTTATAATAAAACCGGGTACCACATTATAAACCGGGTTCCATTTCATCAGCAAACATACAAAAAGAGAAAAAAGATTAGATTTTTACACCAAAATAAGATAAAAAGTAAAACTTCTCTGATTTTTCAAGAATTTAGCGACCCTTTTGGTTTCTCTACCTTTCTTTGTTTCTTCTGTGCTGGAATGCAAATTTCAAGAACTGAAATTTCTCTTGCGACGAAGAAGAAGAAGAAAAGAAAGAACAAGTCGAAGAAGTGTTGGTATAGAGAGAGAGGTTTGTACTTTCACTTGTTTTCTAAGAGAGCAGAAAAAGTAAGCAAAGAAAGGAAGAAAGACAAAGGGAAATCTAAGCTTGGATTA